AACTTCCTTGATAGCTTGATACTGAAAACTACCTCCTCAGCCAAAACACATTTGTATATCTCTAGCTGCATAAATAAATACATGCAACAGGGATATTTTACTTATAATTATCACATAAAAGAATATGACCTCAAGTCTGAAGTATACGGCTATGATATAATNTTCTCTGTAAAATATCTTTTTATGGTGCAGAACACATAACCTTACAGAAGAAGTGCCTTGTGTGATCTGTTAAGGTCTCCACTATAGTGTTCCTAGTGATAATCCTTCATAGGTTACACAACTTAATACCAGATTTCACAAAAGCGAAAACGTATTTGTATCTGTAAGTCATGTTAAGCATGATAATGATGAACAATAAAAAAAGTAAAAGTAAAGTTATCCCTGTGCTTAACTAATTAAGCACTGTGCCATGAAGGTATATGGGGAGTGGATTTTGATTTTGAGAAGTTAAATCAGTTTGTAGTAGACTTAAAATTCTAGTGAGGAAGTTAGGTAATGAATTTTCTTTTGATTTTCATGTGATAAATATTTAATATTTATTTTACGTATTTACAGCATAAACAAGAACAATTATGAGGAGTTAATCGTGGACATGACCAAGAGAGGTCTGGTTTTGGATCACAGCAAATCATCATGGGAGAAGAACTTCATACCGGACAAAGGGTAAAGTTTGCCTTCACACACAATATTCACTACATCAACTTCATATTTTTCCCTAACATATTTAATCATTATGGTGTTTTGTTTATTTTAAAAATCGTTGAAATACCATGTCCCAGACTGATATTTTCACCAGTTATCAAATACATTTGCTCACATGGTGATGTGAGCAAATGTGACGGTGGTTACCAATGATTTTGAGGAAGACAGTTCATCTTGAATATTGAATCCTGAGGATGGAAGTAGCATGTTTCGCTGAAACACTGGGACCAACCTTCCAGATTACAATGTGGTGTTGTAACACAGATATCACAGAATGAATCTTCATTGCCACGAAAACTGCAAACCATACAAATACATATCTCTCTTTCTCATTACAACATGTTCATTATTTAAAGGCCAATTGAGTATTTAATAAGATGTAAGTTATATATGTCTGCATATTTTTTCTTTGTTTCAGGGTGAAATCATAGTAATGTTCATCAAAATGGAAGAACCAAGAGACTTTGTAACATGGCTGTAAGTAACCAAGGTAATGGTTCAGACATGTTGTGCTGATTGTAGAGTGAGCAAACCCTCCTCTCTCTTCCTTCTACCACCAAACACGTCCTCCCATTCCTGCTTCCTTTTCCACCCTCTTCCTCCTTGTCACCCTACCTCCTCCACCCCATATTCCCCCCTACTTTCCCATTCTCCTTCTAACTTCTACCACATCACGCTCTTCCTCATGCCACTTCTTTCCCCTATTTCTTTGAACCTCCTCCTCCTCCTCCTCCTCCTCCTCCTCTTCACCCTACCTCCTCTGATGAATAATGGTGATAACGTACCTCTGGAGAATAGCATCTCATAGTGCTTACTTATCCTACCGTTTTTAGTACCCCATTATATATGTTTATTTGTAGTACATTCAAGTTACTGAAATTAGATATTTGTAACATAGCAGAACATAGTGAGTGTGCACAGAAGTTGCTTCCTTGAGTGAGATTTTGCTCTGTGTTCAGTTATGATATAAATCCCTGTGCTGATGTTACACTGGGCTTCATAGAATACTCGCATAACATTATTCTGCAAATTGTTTCAATGCTTAAAGATCTGGGACGTTGATGTTCGAGGTTATCACAAGAGTATGTGGAGACTGCATATGAAGGGCAGCAAAATGCTTCTCATTGCCAGACTCGTAGTATTCATAAGTAAGACTTCTAGAAACACAAATATGAATACTGTATTGCTCATATGAGTCTCAGTGAAACGTTCAATACCTTTGAGGGTCCATAATCATCAGATGACGTACAGTAAATTGCCAGGCATCCAGCTGGCAAAAACTTCTAAGAAAATTATAGTCATTAAAAAAAATTATGAGTGTATTTTCACCCACTATTATTATGTGACAGGATGGGATGGTATGGATTGGATAGATCTGACTCAGGATAGGGACCAGTGGAGGGCTCTTGTGAACACAGTGATGACCCTTCAGGTTCCATAAAATGCTGGGAAATTCTTGAGTAGTTGCAGAATTGGCGGCTCCTCAAGAAGGGCTCAGCTCCATGAGTAAGTAAGTAATTACAGTATTATATTTTTCCCAGCTTCCAATAGCATCACCCTCTATCATGCATATGGCATTTCAGTAAAGGTTAGTTGAATTTGTGATCTTGTGAATTCAAAATCTTTCACCTGTCAATCTGCAGTATTGTATGGGAAGAGTCCACACAAGAACTAAAGAAAGAACATTATATTTTGATTATAAACTAGGTTTCTGCAAGAACGTTTCTCGTGAAAACAGCAGATTCATGTAACTGGAAGACCCCATTCTCCATGCATGCCAGGTAATTATGGTTTACTCTACTAATAGGAAAGATTCATCTTCAGTATAAATGAAGATTTTGTAAATATTGTAACATGTTTGGAGTAGGTACTTCCATGGTAAAGCGATAACAGTGAGCTGCTGAGTGGAGAATGCCGAATCTCCCCAGAGATGAACACTCGTTATGTAACACCGGACTGTCGAAATAGTAGAAACAGAACCGTGAGAAATGGTGTCTGGTATCCAGTCCACATAACCCCTATATAAGCAGAGCCAGAGACAACACAGACGAGAACGAGACAATCTTGGGATAGCTGCCGCCAGAGACAGTTAAGCTCCAACCACGGCCAAGGATAATTGAGACGTTGCATTGGAGTATTGGGCCAGAAGTCAAGTGATACTGCAAGTGGTAATAACTGTAAGGGGTGTAAGAGTGAGTGTCCAATAAAGATTCGCTAACTTCGAGACCCACGTGAAGTTATTTGTCATGTGACATACCAACACGTGATAATATATTTATAGTATGAAATTTATGCCTGTGGGACCATTCATTAGTTTCTTAGCAAATATGTTAACAAACCACTAATCACTCATGTGGCTGTGTGGAAGCAGCTCTGTTTAAATCAGTAGTGTACTAAGACATGTCAAAAAAGTGGTACATCACAAACAACCATGAAAAAAATCCTTAGCGAACCATTAATGAATTGTGTGGCTGTGTATAAACAGCTCCATTTACATCAGTGATTCACTAAGATGTGGCAGAAAAGTGGCACAACACAAATTAACATGGAAAAAGAGATTTGGCCTTTTGTACTGAGTTGAGGTAAGCTATTTGTAATTCCCTGGCTGCATTACTGTAGTCGAATGAGACCTCTCACAAGAATTTGTAAGATTTGTAAACTCTCTGAAGCTCTTATCACATCAGAAAGTGACATATCTTCCTCTTTGTTCTGGAATACATGAGTATGAACAAATTTGTTCACACTCTTGTAGATACTGACAGACATTGAACCATATCTGTGGCTTTGAGTATTGATGTTTGTTAGAGAAGGAATGTTACTGTAAAACTGCTGAAGAATCCTATAAGTTTGTACTTCTCAAACTGTTTCATGTTGTAACACAAATGGATATTGCTTTGTTCAAAAGGATGAAATCCAGGAAAAACTGTAATCTTATGTTTACTGCAGTTTTGTGAAATTTGAATATACAGCTGCTTCATGAGTAGGATTTTTCAGCAAAATAAATATTATTTTCATATTGAATAAAACTTTCTTCTGATACCAGATATGTCCATACAATATACATTATTTGACACACACTCCTTTTCCTATTCTGCCCATATTTTATAAGTTAAGAGTGCAGAGACATCACACAGATGGTTGCTGATTCTTCTCCACAAAATGGACTCATAGTGCTACAGGCCTACACAGCCCGTTAATGGGATAGATTTAGCTTCCCCCCCCCCCTTATATATATATATATATACCAGTATGGCCTATCCAAGCTTTCCATGGTCCTTAACATAGAAAGATGCCCCACCTCAGTCTTGTAGTCAGAGCCTAGGCTAGCTTGCATTAGTGTGAGATATTCAGCCTGACTTGAACCCACTCTGAACTGGACAGCCAGGGCATTCAGCTGACTTGAGACTTGCCTAGGATAGCCAAATCAGACGAGCAAGAAACCTAGGTAAGGCAAGAGAAAAGCCTAATATGGCCATGTTGCCAGGCTTAAATAGCCCATTACTCCCATCCCTCAATCACAGCAAGCAGGTCAAAATTTATCTAGCCCAAGAAGAGTCTAATTATCATAGAATTTAAGTTCCGATGGAGACTTGAAGTGGCTACATTAATGACTGTGAAACAAGCATATACAGTCAACTCTTGATTAGCCGGGATAATGGTGGGGATGGAAATCACGATTAATCGAAAACCTGGTTAAGACAAATTTTATTAAAAGTAGTACTGTAATACTCTACCTTCATAATACTATAGGCATTCCTGTATTTAAATTTATTCAACCTCATTTTCATGTCATCTCATGGCCTATTTAATACTTTTTTTACATTACACTGAAGTATGAATTAGTTACTTCAATCACAGTGTTCAACAACATCCAACACTTTTTATGAATATTCACACTTAACACTTAAAAAAATTAATATTGTCGTTTTGCTTTTTTGCAGCATTTTCCTTTTTACGGATATCCGTACGAAGCCTACATAATATTAGCTTGTCACTTAATAAACTGTTCTCTTCACTCTTGAGATAGTCTAGAAAGGATTCCAAATGATTAAGAGCAGCACCATGTGATATTTTCTTACTAGCAGCACTGTCCACCTCGTCCACCTCTTCCTCATTCTCACTTTCTTCCCGCTCTTCTGGCTGCACCCTGACTGAACTTACGATTTCGTCACTACTTAACATTTCAAAGCCTGGCTCATATGAGTTTCTGTTGAATACTTAACACAACACGCTTCCTTTTACACCCTGACATTTTGCTAACGCACTTGAAGATCGATACAAAGAGGCTAACTGGGGCGGTGTATCTGTCCTTGAAACTTTCCACAAATCATTGCATTCTCTCACCCCTACCCTAGAACAGTGTGTTAGTATAATGGGACCAAAAAATGCAGAGCTCGGTTCACACTAGTGCGAAAATAGTGTTACAACTCACCACATGAAACAAAAGTGAATGAATATTAAACAACATACAAGCCTCAAAAAGCCCCCGGATAATCGAGAGTTGAGTGTATATTCCTGAAGAATAATTTAGCCTGCTCATTGCTGCACATGACAACTAGCCTGAACACAGTGTAGCTATCCAGGCTAATCAGCTGAGACCTAATGTACCTTAGCAATATACAAAAGCAGTTCAAAACCTGCCTCCATTAGCAGATAGTGTCATAATCCAGATGACAGATGTCACGAAAGGCCAATCACCAAACCACGTGATCATCTAGACCGAATGCAATCACTGTAGAAGTTGCAGAATTTGGGCCAATGACAACACAGTTCGCTTCAAACAGCAAAAGTAAGGTAGTGGTAAGCCTCTTTCACTGTCTTCCACACACGCTGGGCAACAGTAATGTCAATCAGCCACCCATTCTGCAAAGGAGGATGAAGAAAGGCGGGTTTACCATCCTTGAGGATGATCCAACTGTTTAAACCCATACTTGCCTTTTCCCAGTGCTCTATATTGGGACTGTTATCGCTTAGTGGGCAACACAGTGTTTTCTTAGGGTCAAAAGGCATTCCACCATTTAAACTCTCAAAAAGTTTGTCAATTTCGTCAATAAATGCTGCTGTTGCCAGGTATTTACTGCAGCACCCACCTGAATGGAAAGAAAAATGCAAAATTAGTGTGCTTCCCTACATGGTGGATTACCATAATTCTTCGCATTGGGAAATAACACATATTACTTTACAACACACTGCATCTATAAAAAATTTGTACACTTGTTACTTTATTCCTCATAGTAAAGCTTTTACCACCTCATTCTCTCATAAATAGTATTACTGAAAGCATGTTCAGCTTTTCAAACACTTTTTAATTATCCTAAAACAGTATTTGTGACATATTCTACATGACCTGTATATTGATATAGTTTCAGTAGTAATAAATTATGACAATGACATATGTTTGATTACAACTGGGGTCTTAGAACAATAACTTTGAAAACTAGTCCTCACTATTAGCCACTGCATTCATAAAAGAAGCATATGGTGCTTACCTGGAATGGTGTGTAATGATAAGGAGGTTGTGGGAGTGATTGTGCTGCAGAATCTGATCTACATGGAACTGCGAATCTGTTCAGTTGTAGTGAAATCACTTTCTAGTGCACAAAAATTTATAGTGTAGCATTCTAGCAGAATCAATGGTGCAGGATATCCCAACCCTTCCTGTCCATACCACAGCCCTGTAAGAGTATTACATATTCTCTCAAAACCTTGAAATAATTCATCTATAACGATTACAAACATGGTGTTGGTGCTAGGTTGAGGGGGAAAGTTTAATACATTTAATGCAGACACTAGCTAAACTTAATTTCTTCGTTGGATTATGCAACACATAATAAACCCATTAAGACAGACTTACCATACTGAATATCTGGAAAAGTTTAAGAGTTTCAAACCAGTCTGCCTACTGGATGACGAACACAAAATTTATTTCATCCCATTTATCCTGCAAGAAACAATACAGAAATTATAACACAATCACAGAACACAGTGAATTTCGAGATTCTACAGACCTTCTTTCAGCTGCATAACCTACAGAAATATAGTTTGCAGGAATTTTTCACTTCATATGAAAATTTCGAGACAACCAACCCCAGTCACAATAAAGATAGACCAAAACCAACTGGAGAATGTGAAATGTTTTAAATATTTGGTTAGCTTGTTAACAGATGATGATGAACCTGTGAAATTAAATCTAGGATTGCCATGGCAAAAAGCTGCATTTAGCAAGAAGAAGAATCTTTTTACCAGCAAATTGTACTTAAATTGGAGAAATAAACTAGTGAAATGCTACATTTGGAGCATGGCTTTGTATGGGGGCTGAAACTTGGACACTTAGGGCAGTAGATCAGAAACACCTGGAAAGCTTCGAAATGTGGTGTTGGAGGACTGAGAAGATCAGTTGGACCGATTATGTGGGAAATGAAGAAGTGTTATTTAGAGTCAGTGAGCAGAGGAATATCCTACACGAAATAAGAAAACGGAAGGCTAATTGTATTGGTCATATCTTACGCAGTAACTGCTTCTGAAAGAAGTTATTGAAGGAAAGATAGAGGGGCGGATAGAAGTGACCAGAAGACAAGGAAGAAGACGTAAGAAGATTCTGGATGACCTTGGGGACAGAAAAGGATATTCTCATTTGAAGGAGAAAGCTCTAGATCGAATTAAATGGAGGAACTGTTTTGGAAGAGACTGTGGACCTGTCGTCTTGACAGATTACTGATGAATGAATGAATATATTTCTAACCGAATTCGGCGTCGTAAGCACTCCATTCATATACAGAAATAACATAGCGATGTAACTTAAAGAGTAAACGTCAGCTCTTGATTCACTACCAAATAAAATACTTACTAATTAACCGCGAAACACACGATTCCTCTTCGCGATCATCATTAGAACATTAGCGGGTTCCGTAGCTCCATGCTTCATGTGCTGCCACCTTTGCGCCGCTCTCAAATAACAGAACGGCAATATGAATTTATACATACGTGAAACTACTTGTCACAGAAACAGGATTTAACAGGTTATTCCTTCCGAAAGCAGCAACAAATTCACACTAAACCTCTTTACTCGCTTTACAATACCATAACGACCATAACAGTTGACTGAAAGCCACAGCCAATTGCTGCAGACAAGACACCTAAGCTCACGTAACTCCAACGTTATTATTTGGGACCGTCGTCGCTACGGTCGCTACCGTCGCTACATGATTAATGTGCTGCTACCTGTGCATAATTCACTAGAAACAGAACGGCAGTTTGAATTTGTACTTATGGTATTTATTTACGTTCCGTAAATCCAAGGCGATCCAGGTCGATGTTGGAACCACGGGATGCTGAACTAGTGCAAATACTTAATACTTGTACAATAATAGCATTACTTGAAAAATTAATTAATCTTATGATACAGTATTAATATAACCATACTACCTGTATACATACAACACAATCTGCAAATAAACATTTGTACCAACACATGAACAAAAACATGTGTGTCACAAAACAATTTCCCACACTATTCATGATTGAAGATAAAGGACAGAATGTACTCTGACCATCTTCTGAAAACCAAGCTCTAATATACTGAGATGTAGGAAATATGTCTGCAAAGCAAGCAATAGATGGAGATCAAGTTCAGAATAGTTTTCTTCTATGTAAACCGTGACTGTAGATGAGGGATGTTATCAAAAAATACTCAGTATGAGAAGGTTGAGACAAGAGCACATGAAGGCATGCTAGTTTCTGTTGCTGACTGCAATTGCTTGTCACCAAGGTTACTTTCTCCAACCTACAAAAACATATAATGATGCTCATGTAACCAGTTGGTACACATATTTTTCCAGTAATTCAGTAACTGCTCTCAGATGAATTCCTGGATTTGGTATGGACAGCATGTTACAAGACAAAAATTAATCATTACTTTCCTAATGACTTACTGATGTGTCAGTATTTTCATCTTCCTCTCTGTGGCTCTGTGCCTGGCTGTTTTAGTTATCAACCTCTTTGTTCGCTAACACCATCAAGGTATGTGAACTCTTGTGAGACCTGTCACAATACCATCTACTCTTCGTTGGTAGTGAAGCATTCTAGCAGACTCTGGGTACTTACCTTATAGCTAAGGTCTGAACACAAGCTAACACTAACTATTACCTTTGGCCGTGCCATACCTCAAGCGGTTAGTCGCTGGCTTCCCACCGTGGCAGCCCAGGTGTGGTCAAGTAGGATTTCTGTTGTTCAAAGCGGAGCTGGGGCAGGTTTTCTCCGAGTACTTCAGTTTCCCCTGCCAATCCTCATGCCACGAAATTCTCCATCATCATAATCACCAGGGGCAGGTGCAATAGGCCAATCACTGGCCGCCACGACGAGTGGACCCACTAAGCGAAATTAACTATTACCTTTTACAGTGCTAAGGATGCAGTTAAAGAAAATTCTCAAAATTTTACTGGTAAGCACAGTGACTTCTGGAAATCTGTAACTGATCATTTGTCTTCTAAAATGTTTTAATTTATTCTGCCTTGAACAGTGAAGTTTATGGAATTAACAGAATCAATTGAGTATGTGTATTTGATTGGATTTTGTAAACTACATTTGAGGAAATGAGTAATGATTTAAATATAATTTCACCTTGTCAAAACTATGTAAGTTCCTAGGTTGACACATTTATTCTAGCAGTAACTCTGATGCTGACTTACCTTGTCTGAAGTACACTAGCAGTTTGCAGTAAAAGAAATTAACAGATGCTCTAGATATGACCAGAGAATTGCAGAAGGTAGCTACATGCACCTTCAGCAACACAGGAAAACATTACGTGCTGAAAATATGTTCTGAAAGACATGTTTTGCCTTGTCACAGTGTGTTACTATTTGGTAGTCTAAACAAAGAACTGGTGAACTACCAAACAAAAATACAGGAGCATCTGTTAATATGTGGAAGAGGGAGCAGACTCCTTGCCCCACCAACTATACTTACATGATTCTTTTTCCCTCGCAAATGATGTTCAGGCCATTTTTAAGTTTTGCAAGATTTAGCAGGACTTGTGCCATATCAGTGTATAACTAGATGCAGCATAAAGACACGGAAACTTAAGGCTGAAGGTCTTAGAAATGCGATCATCAGATTTTCAACTTCAACTTTTAACAAAGCCAAAGTAGGGGTACTAGGTCCTCATGACACTTAGGAACCCCCGTTGAATGGCAGTCAGCTGTAGTCACTGCCCTTATCTCTTTATTCCCACAGTATATTGCTGGAGAATATTTTAATATTCCATGCCTTGTTCCCCAAGGGACTCCACACAGTTTAAATCCTGCAGCATATAAGTATTATGTTTCAGGACTTTATCCATCATCCTGTCTATTTTCTAAAAACCGTCCTGTTAATTTTTCCGAGACTGAATTGTCCCCATACTCAGGTACGAGTACAACCTACTCAGTTGGGTCCTATAGATAGAGCTAGTCCCTATCTCCAAACGATGGATATTGTCCGAAAACATAGTACTTGTAGCAATCATTGACCTATTTGTATTACCTGAGTGAATCACCATATAATAATTCTCCCTTTGAAATCTTGATATAGTCATTATATTTGACTATGCTGTGATTTGTGTTTGTAGTAACCAGTTCAGAAAAATTAATGCTGAAATTCATGGGAAGCCTTAAGCCCTAAATCACTAGTAATGAAGAATGATTGGAATCGTGTAGCTGTTGAACTGTGCAATGCAGACACTAAGGCCTAAGACTGAAGGGAATTGGTACATCATAGAGAAAAGCATCTGAGAAGAAAAGTTTTTATTTTGTTGAGAACACTTTTGTGGATATGTGATCTAATTCAGTTAGTTCCATTCCCAAGACCGGAAAAATATAATTCCCCACAAGTGTTATGATGTTATGTTAACTGTAGTTACTTACTTACTCATGGAGCTGAGCCCTTCTGGAGGATCTGCCAATTCTGCAGCTACTCATTTTATGAAACCCGAAGGTTCATTACTGTGTTCGCAAGAGCCCTCCACTGGTCCCTATCCTGATCCATATCAATCCAATCCTTACCATCCAATCCCACCTCTCTAAGATCCATTTCAATACTGTCCACCCACCTACGCCTTGGTCTTCCCAGTGGTCTCTTTCCTTCTGTCTTTCCCACCAATCACCTATGCGCATTAGTCTCCCCCATTCGTGCTACATGCCCTGCCCACCTCATCCTCCTTGACTTCATCATTCTAATTATACTTTGAGAAGAATACAAGTTATGAAGATCCTCACTGTGCACTTTTCTCCAACACTCCTGTCACTTCATCTCTCTTCGGTTCAAATGTTCTCAACACCCTCACTCTATGTTCCTCCCTTAAAGTCAGAGACCAAGTTTCACACCCATACAGAACCACAGGCAAAATTATAGTTTTGTATATTACAATTGTTATGTTTTTGGACAGCAGACAAGCAGACAAAAGGTTCTGGACTAAATGGTAGCAAACATTACCCGAGCTCAATCTCCTCTTAATTTCCTCCTGAATCAGGTTTCGATCTGTTATCATTGTTCCCAAAATCTGAACTGTGTCACATTATGAAAAACATCTTGTTTCCTATCGTCATGTCATGATTTTCCCCTGCATTTTTGCTATGAGACAGCAACATATACTCAGTTTTCTCTGTGTTTACTTCTAGACCAACCCCTCTACTTGCATCAATTAAAGTTTGTGTGTTTCTCTTTATGGGATCTACATTATCACCCAGTAGATTCACATCATCGGCACAGGCCAACAGCTGATGTGTCCCGTTTCATTTCAGTCCCACCTGGTTTCCCTGGACCGTCCTAATGGCATATTCTAAAGCAAAGTTGAAAAGGAGTGGCGATAAAGCATCTCCTTGTTTTAGACCATTCTGGATAGGAAATGTATCAGGCAAACGTTTATCTACAAGGCCTGTACTATATGTTTCATTTAAACACATTTTAATCAGCGTCAGAAAAAGGACTGCACAACAGATCATTGAAGGTCACAGTACAAGGGCTGGATTATTATGGCCCACTCCTTATGCATGCATGCATTCATTCATTTTGGATTGAGACCAATAGTACGTTCTTTTTGAACGTGGTAGCAAACCTTCAGGACACATAAAATACTTGCAATTTATTTACTAGCTGAGTAACTATTAAAATGTTGGGATTTAAGAATCCCTTTCTCTGTTGCTAATGTTCAGAATTTTTTTAAGAAAAATACCTGTTTATGTTCAGTTGAAAATAAACGGATTTAATTCACTGTGTGTTCTCATTTTTAATCTTAATAAAAATGTGAACTGAAAAAAATATTGGATCAATATCATTTGTAGGGAATAGGTAACCAGCCTTTGTCCATGAAGGCAAGAACGTAACCAAGAGAAAATGACTGCGAACCCACTCAAGTGACATATTTCACTACCTCTTGGCCTCTTTCTTTAAATCAAATTCTATTGTATCAGAATGGCAGTTCATAAAATTTAAACAGACATAACTTGGTCAATTTCATTTCATTCGCTGCACAAAACTGAAAATAGAAATTATGACACACTTAAAATTTCTATCAGTAAACTTTCATGTGTATCTGGCAGACAAATTGGAGTTTGGGCAGGTTTTCTCCAAGTACTTCAGTTTCCCCTGCCAATCTTCATTCCAATAACTGCTCCACAATTACAAACTTCTGTATTTCAATGTTTCAACCCTGTTTAGATGTCAAAATGCTCCACAAACTACACTTCGTGTCTGTGTGTGTGCGCGTGTGCACGCGAGTGAACATGCTTCCAAAAAAAATAAATGGTCAAGGGATGTTAAACACTGAGACTTATGAAACAGGGCTCTCTCTGTCCCCTTCCAATAACCTAGCAATTTTTCATATACAGCAGCAGCAACAACACAGCTGTTAAAAGGTGATGGTGCACAATCTTGTCAGAATATTTCAGTTTCCTCTTCTTCCAAGTTATGAAAAAAAACTGAAATTTACGAGCATATTCAGGCAAATGATTACTGCAGCTCAGAGATAATTAAAGATGCTTGAACTGATACAGAATGTTATTTTGATGCAAAACATTGCTAACATAAATTCTAAGCATGTTATCATTTTAAATTTTGTTTCATTTGTGTACCACTGTACAAAAATAACACAACAATGTGATTTCAAAAAAATGAATTTATTGTTCTTAGATATACAACAATGTCATCTTCATTAGCCCATACTCTTGTACACCTGTATACCTACAGCTTCCAAAGGCCTTAAGAAATACAAGTATATAGGTTACAATGAATGATTTCTTCTCATACTTCCACTTTATAAATTTTGCTGCAGTTTCATTTATTTTTAGTTTTGTCAATGTTTACATTTGATGGACATACATTTGACAAGCATATGGGCTTTTGAACACATATCATATATGATTAAGCTGTAACTTCAAACACCATCACTGCATACATACATAATCCTCAACAAAACAAATAAGCACTTAATTCATCATATTTGTGTCAACTGAATTTATTAACTATATTTAATATGATACAGCTGAAAGAAAAAAATTCAAAATAGAGAAAGAAGTAAATTACAAAATCAATTATCTAGACATAACAACTTCAAAAACATATAATAAATTAAGCTTTGGAATATGCAGAAAACATACGACTTCTGATCTAATCATACATAATGGTTCATGCTAT